CCGCTGCTCTCGGTACCTCAGTGCACAAAGCAGTGCCTTTGGACCTGCAAAGAAAGAAAGCGCCCGCTGCCCCTGCCAGATCAGCTCTAACCTGTTCCTGGAGGCTGGGGATCAGGGCAGTGGCTCTTCCAGCTGGATACAGCTGTCCTCAGAGACATCTTCTCCACCACCATGCTGGATTCAGCAGAGCCCCTCCTCTGCCAACTAATAAACCAAAGGCCAAGCTCCGCCACTACCTTTTTTCAACATTTTCTTCCATCTCCTAGGACCAATGAGTACATCTCAAGTCACTTAAATTTCCCTCTGCCAGCCTTCCCCTTTTCATTCTGAGTAGAGAACGGGTTCTCTCTAAAGCCAATCAGGTCTCCAGCAACTAACCTACTACTTGTTGGTTGAGGCTGATGTACCTACACCCTTCATACACATTTTTCTTTTTACGAGAAAAATGTGTTAGCAAGTCTCCTGTGCTTACCTGCCTTCATTATAGTTGAGGGGATTTCAGAGAGAACTCCTGAGAACTACAGACTCTACAGCTTAAAATAAATTTACCCAGAAGTGTCCTGCACCATCAAAGCAACAAATGCAGGGAAGTCCCAGGGGCATGTTTCTGCTCTTATTTCATGAAAATAAAGGGGACATTTGGGGCGCTTGTGTGATATTTTACATTAGCTCATCCTGTAACGCGCTTCTACTGAGGTGGAAAAGTTCTATATTTATCCAAATGTTACTGCTATTTCAATAGGCTGGGGAAACTTAGAGAAGAAAGAAGAAAATGATGAAAGGGTCTGCAAAGTAAGAAGGTTTTTTCTTTGAAAGAGGGGGAGGAAACCAGAGCTGAGCAAGGAAAGGGTAGTTCTGAAGTAGTAGATGAAGACCAGGGGTAAGCTCAGGGCAGACAGAGGCAATCAGAAAGTATTTCAGGCAGATCAGTAATGGCAGAAAATTCAAAATCTTTTTATATTCACAGACTAACAAGACACAAAAAAACTCTTTCTGCACTCTTCTGCGCTCTTGTATCAACTGTTTCTTTTTACAAGGACCCGGCTCAGCTCAGCAATCTCTGCTGAGTTTTGCAAACTTCTTTATACGTCACCTTCTCTGGAGCCGGTGGTGGCCAAGCTGACACCAACACTCTGGCATGACAAAGCCTTTGAAGTTAGTGAGAAAGAGAGTAAGTAGAGACCTCTTGTCTTAAAATCTAGAGAGTTCTTTGTTCTTCTTTTATTTCTTCACTTTCACTACACCTGCATGCTGAAATCTGAAATTCCTTCTATCACAAATGAGGTCTGTTCTTTATTCTTTTCTCTGCCTTCTGGGTGGACACATTCTGCTGTTAATATTTTTCTTCATTCTTCCCTTGATTTCTGGGCTAATGACCTCGTTTAAGTAGAACCGTTTGAGCCAGTAACCAGTGAAACTTGTACATATTTAAGGAAAATAATATGATACAGCTGATGCAAGTTGCCATTATTTAACAGGGAAATTAAAAAAAAGCCTTAGAGGATGACTGGAGTCAGTGACACAGATTTCAGTAAAACCAAGCCCACTAAGGTTTACATGGCATGTTGCCTGCTGGAGGCTTACATCAGAACTGTTAAGCTCTGCTCATTCAACTCCCTTCTGGCTCTGCTCATATAAATTAGTATATCCCCCTCAGTCATCATATTCGAGCAATGTTCCTTCAACTCAGGAATGCTCAAATAAGTCTACTAGGAGGTCCAGCCTGGTCCAGAGGATCTGCCACCAGCTGTCATTTTGCTAGTGATTCAACCACATGACTGTAGACAAACCACATCTTTTCTCTTTCTCAAACTTACTTCTATAAAACAAGCAAGTGGTAAATGATTTACGGTTTGAGATCCTGGCAATTTCTCCAGCACAAACTGAACCGCATTTCCCAGCAAAGAAAGTTAACCATGTGGGTGGGGATAAAAGCACAGAAAAGTTCTGGGGTCTCTTTACGTGGCAAGAAAGGGCTGGATAAGTTTTGCATTTTGCTTTGCTTTCCACTTCTAGAATAGCTGTGTAAAATGGAAGACATCTGAATTTAAACTTTCCTGTGAAAGGTTTGGTATTAGATGGACTTAACAGGAGTGGGGGTTGTTGGGCATCATGCAGCTGTGCATCTTTGGTACATCTAAGATGTCCGTGCCTAAGCTCACATTCTCTTCCCATCTCTCATTTCCCAGTGAAACCTGTTGGTCTTTTTTTGTTGTTGATGATGGTCGATGTCTCTCTCGCTGATCTTCCTTTACGTGCCTTTTCTCTGCATGGAGGCCGAGCATCCTGGCAGCTGGGGCCGGTGGATATCACCGGTTGTGCGGACCCTCTCAGAAGCGTGCTGCATGTTACACAGACTAACAAATATACTTGCACCCCAGACAGCGCAAATCCTGGTTTCCTAGGGATGAGTAACTGAGAGAAAATCAAGCTGGTAGTCAGAAGAGAAGGATATTTCATAAAAGAAAGGTGAGACAATCATTACATTTTTTAATATTTATTTCTGCCATCCCACAGAGTCTCCTTCAGCTCTTGGGACAGACACACTAAAAAGAAAGCAAGTTTGGGCATGTTGTGTGGGTCTTGTTAGTGAGGCTGGCTTTGGCACAGCTTCGGTCTCAGATTTTTGTATTGTTTTGCTTCTAAAACTGGTAATGTTTTTCCTTCTGAAAAGAAACAACACAATTACTAGGATTGAAAGAAACAATTAATTCCGTCTCATCAGAAAGAATCAAAGAGCACTTCTAAACCCCTACTTGAAGATGTCCTGGTAAAGATCCACTACTGGACTATTTCAAAAAACCTTCAAGTGAGATGTTCTGGAAAAATTGAGACTTTTTCTGCCTATTTGTTTTCTGAGTCCTTGGCATGCATTTCACCATATTTTCATTTTTCCGTCTCAATCGCCAAAGCTAATTTTTTAATTTTAGAAAAATTATATTTTTGCACTAAGGATAAAGCATGTACTCACTGCCAGAAGTACATAGAGGAGGCCATTCCTCTCCCCCTCCTTCAGCAGGGTAAAAAAAGCTGGAGTACCACTGGTCACTAGCTCACAGCGCCGAGCCCTCACATTTCTCTTTACAGTTTCCATGTCCTGGGAAAAAGTTATGTTTGAAAAGCAGTGGTTAAACTCACTCACCTCTTCCTTTGTTGTTGTGTTTATACACATTTATTGATGGCTCACAATCATAGCCACAATTGAAGATCACATATGTGTCCATGACTACTATGGAAAAAAACACAAATAATTTCTCTGAAGAAAAAAACCCACAAATTAATGGGCACTTAATCTCAGAAAACTCTCATTCAAGGAATGCCAAGTTGTAGCTCACCATTGTCACCTACACGCGTGTGGCATGACAAACTTCAAGGCACGCTGAATCAGCACATGGTTTTCAGAACGCAGGGAACAGTTGTCCTTCAAATGCTGAGCAACTCTTGATTAAAACATCACTCCAGCGCAACTTCTAAAGATCCCCTGGCCAAGAAGCCTGAGGTTGTTTTTTAAAGGTCTGTTGACCAAGAAGCCCAGCTGCAGAAGATCCAGCTCTCTCAGGAGGCAACCTTGGGCAGAACTTGTCAGAGGGATTTGAGCAGCCTAGATGCCTTCCCAGATGCTACCAAATGCGTACCATTCCCACTTCTCCCCTAGCACACCTTCTTTTATCCATCACAGGCCAGCCTGGCAGCTTGGAGAACAGACTTGGGAACACTCCCACATTTCCTTCCGTGGTCCTTTGCAACAGCTCTTTCTGTAGGAGAGCAAGGCAGGACTGAAGCCAAATGCCCAGTTCTTTCTGTCAGTCCCTTTCAATACCTTCTCTTCCAGCGACCACGGTTCAGTGTCCACCACAGAACAACCCTCATAAAGTCATTTTGTCATGTTGCTCCTAAACGTCTTTGGATACAGTGGTTGTAGTTTCTTGATACCTGGGGTAGGGTTGCTGGATACCAAAAGACTAATTGAAAGGCCAAAGAGCTAAAAATAGCACTCGCGAGTTACTATTTTAATGGAAGACTCACTGGAGGCTTTTTTAACTTTCGTTCGTGATCTCTCCCACTAGAGGGTACTCCGCTATTATAAAAACAAGTGCTCTGCGCTGGGACTACACCGTGACACAAGCTGTTAGCAGAGCCCTTGCAAATACACGGGAAGGACATTCCTACCACACCTTGTGTAACGATACAGAGAGCTGGAGGGGAAGCTTTCCAGCTCGAGCCCTTCAAAACATAACTTTTTTCGAAATACCAATCTTGAAACAGTTCCGTGGGACTTGCTGCATCTGCAGCACAGATCCTCCCACCTGATTACTTGTGAAACATCAAAGGGCATCCTGGGACACCTCACCTACTCACTGGCTTGATCCTTGCTGGTGCTCACAGGCTCACCGGCGCTCGGTGCAGGTGCTGCACCAGGGACAAGACAGGCTCCGGCCCTGGTCCCTGCTGGTGGTTGGCACTTGGGTTCTCTCACTCAGATCTCCCCACTGGCCCATGGTCCTGGCCCAGCTGCTGGCACCAGGCCCCCATACACACCGACTAGGGACTCTCGCACCCAGGAAAAGAGTTAGAAATGGAGTTTAATAAGAAGACAGGACAGATCATGTTGACCAGGCACTGAGCATGCCCAGAGAAATGTACTGACCAGCCTCCTGCGTATGTGCGACCAGACCCTTTTAATCCCTTTATCCCTCCGTTTTCCCCAGGCTTTTTCATCCCCAAGTCCCTTTGATTCCTCTTTTTCTCACCTTTAGTTCCCCCCCTAAGCATCCCATAACAAGTCCCATGCAATCCCAAAATGCTCCTTCCGTGCATCCCATCAGGTGTCCATACCCCTTTAGGCAGTGACCCCCCCCCAGTTCGAGAGGTGCTCCAGTGACGGCTCCTCTGGATGGGTTTCACACCCAGACCCTGAGGCTGAGGATCTCCTTGGACATCCCTGAGAGAGGCCTGGGCAAGGTGCCCCTTCCTCTGAATCCTTAGTTTGGGCTCCCCACCTGCCCTTGGATCCCTGTGCTCCTCTGGGCTTGTGGAGATGGACGTTCAGTGGGCTGATGTCTGTCCTTCCTGTGCTGGGCTGGGGAGCAGCCGGGGTGGGGTGTTATTTGGACTCCCCCACCTGCTGTTGCCTCTCTGTCCTCCTCCACGGGTGTGCAGCCGAGCTCCTTGACACCTAACCCAACAAATCTCCTCTCAAACACGCCTTGGACGCTGCTGTTCAGGTCCTCTGCTTCCTCTGAAAACAAGCGCCTGCAATTTTTTTTCTCTCTCGGGTTTCTCTTCAGATGTTGTAGCCTTTTGTGAAGTGAGGAAGTTGGTGCCTGCTCCTGCAAAAGACTCGGCACAGTGATGTGGTAACCATGACAAAGCTCTACGTTATCTGTCAGAGAGAACTGACGAGAAGACAAGAGGGCTCCCGTTCACAGCACAGGACTAGCAAGAGCTTGCAAGGAAAACAGGGAACCTGTGGGAGGTCAGAGGAAAGTGGCTAGGGGGGGTGACTCCCAGTTGTGGCCACTTACAGACATCCCATCTGCTCTCCTGGGCATTTACAGTACCAGGGCATTTACATATCCACACCCCAGACCTTCCCTGGCACTGGCAGAGGTTAGATGGGGCATGTATGGTGTCATCTACCAAGTGTGGCTGTCACATGCAGCAAAGACATGGCAGCAGGAGCGGACCCAAGCTCTTGATGAAAGGGTTTTGTCACTTTTCTGGTAAATGTTGCCAAGGCTTTTGAAGGATGTGAATAATTACTGGAAGCCTTGGGCATTTGCATTACCTCGTTTTGAGAAACGACGTGCTGTTCCTTCGGCGTGTGCAGGCTCACGGCTTTCTCGCTTAGGTCTTGGTGTACACCTTCCTCCTTTGCAGGTGTTCTGGATGTATTACATCTCTTCAGTCTGACAAAAAAACCCAATATTAACTAGTCACATAATGCTTAGAAATCTCCTGGCATTTAGAGTGAATCTTGCTATATTAAAGGTGCTATTACTACCTGGATAAGTTTCCAGGGCAGGTATATAAAAACACCAACAGGAAACAGGAAAGCAAATTGCAGGATGAGCAGAGGTAAGCCATGTCATTTGCAAAAGAACGGAAATTATTCTTACTTTTTCCCTTTTCTGTTGATTAGTCTCATGACACAATATATCAAGATTGCGAAGAACACCACAGTTATTAAGACCGGTACGATGATCATGCTCTTCTGAACACCTACAAAAAGAAACCGGTAAAGTCACACAGAACATAGAGGGATGTCAACATGTTTCTCATGTCCTCCTCCAGAGATTGGGACTGAAGTGAAGCATCAGTCTGTGCTCATTTATTCTTTGAGGAAGAGAAAGGAACAGTGTAACAATGTAACACTGTGGTAGGTAAGGAATTATTTTATTTTTCAAATAAATGCCGATAATGTCTCACATTTCCCTGGGATTGGGGGAACCAAAACCCAGCGTTTTCACTCCTGACCTATTTGTGTTTCTCTTTCTGTATGGAGAAGTTTTATCACGAGGAAAGTCTCCCAGCCTTCCCAACACATACCCTCCTGCAAGATCTTCCATGTGAAATGTTGTTCCCCAGCATTCGCCAGCCAGGGGCCTGCTCTGCTGGTACCCTCCAGCTCTGGATACTGCTGGAGAGCTGATCACATCTGCTCTGCATCAGTGATTATGTAGAAATACAAACATACAGAGACTTGTATACATATGAACACACAACTCCATATATTTCTTAGAGATATAGATATATATGCACACGCCCACTACACAATCACAAAGGCACCACAGCGAGGAGTCTTCTGGTTGGTTTCAAATCATGAAATCTTCATCTAACATGAGGTCTGAACTCCCAGAAAAACGTCTAGTGAGACCTATGTAAGTACAAGCTGCACTCCCACTATTGCATATCTTTTCCTACGCGCTCCCCACTACATGCTGCACCTCTCCATACAAATGCAGCCTACCTTTCCTTTCTTTTTCCAGGTTAACTACCTTCGTTTTCCTTCCCTGTGGGTGGTCAATCAGGCAGACCAAGGCACGGAGGTGGTTGGCAGAGAAGGTAAGTCTGTTTGCCACCGTTACTGTTCCATTTGTGTTTTGGATGTGGTGTATTTCAGAGGACTCATCCAGGTCTCTGTCAGCCAGCCAGCTGATTTTGGGGGCTGGCTTTCCTGTTGCTGAGCAAACTGCAGTGAGGAGACCCTCGGTGGGCAGGTGGGAATCATATTCCACTGTTAGCTCAGAAATAGCTGGGAGCAAAAAGAGAAGGTACTTTTTAGACTCCGTGGTGAGTTTACGGTGAAAGCTGGACGAGTCACATCTCTGTACAGGGGTTCTTATCTGAAAGCATCTTCTGGCTTATTTACCTTCACCTTCTCTGAGGAAAGGTGTGGCAATTCTAGAGACTATCCACCAAGGAGATGCTGCTGCATGGAAAGTCTCCATGCTGTGGAGGTGATAACGCCCTGCGTCCTGACTACATCAGACCTGTGCAGAGCACCAGAAAGTAAGAAAGTGTTAGTGAAAGACTTACTTTGGATGTTGAGGCATATGTCTCCCGTGAAAGACCCATGAGGGAACACGTTGAAAATGCATCTGTAATAGGACTCATCCTCAAATGTGAGATTTTGGAGTGTGATAGCTGAGGCGTTCAGGGTTGCTCTAGTGAAACGCACCTTCTTCTGAAACGGCCCTATCAGCCTCAGCCCATGGTTTGAGCTGTACGTGGCTATGTTCTGGAAGGAAGACCCATTTCTCTTCTGCCAGGTAACTTGCAAAACATCTATCGAGAGCGAGAAGTTGCAATAGAAATTCACCTCTCCACCGAGGGCTGCTGCAATAACCCGATCATATTTCACAATTGCCCCCAAACCTAGGAACAAAGCAAACCCCAAAATCAGAGCAAGAAGAAAAGCAATTCACTCAAGGAAGGCTGTAGTGCCTTGAAGCATCCAGTCGCAGTGTTCCCATCTTGCAGAGCACTGGAGCAAGGAACTCCATCACGAGGCCATGTGGCATACTGGGAGACCTCAGACACCTTGGTCGCATGGGTGGCCGTCACGCCGTTAGCCTATGCTATACATTTCCCGTGGCGAGGAGGAAGGCAACATGGGAACGGAGGGCAGGCAGGCTTCTGAGCAAGCGAACTCGAGCCCTGAGATTGATCATCTGCCTGCTTATTCCCAGTGCATTACTTTTAGCTCCCCTTTGTCCCCAGGAGCTCAGAGGTGTCCTCTACAGACCTGGCACACAGCAACCATCCAGCAAAAGCAGCTTTTGCTCCCGAGAACATCCCCATTCCCAAAAGCATCCTTGCTCCCCTCTTGCCGGCACCTGCAGGTGGGCGTGCAGGGGGAAGGCAGAGCAGCCCAGGGTACCCCGAAGCGGGGAGCCAACACAAAGGCCTACAGAGGGATATCTCCCTGCCCCAGCCTCTTCCAACAGAAGTGTACACTGTCTAGACACGTGCATTGGAAATGTAATACTGCTCCATCCCTTGTGCTGAGGAGCTTAGCGACACTTCCAAAGAAAGGGAATACATGGGCTGAACATACAGCTTGAGTGCAAAGACAAACTGCCCTGTGCTCTGACCTGCATTTCCCAATTTTGCTGCTGACCAACCCCCAGATTACTAGCTACTATTCCAGTTACCAATTTGTATTTTTCAGTCAGGATGGCATCTGGCTCTCTCTGCTTGCCAAGAAAGACTGGTACTGCTCCAGAGTTAAACTTCTGCAGGGAAAGGACACTCCACTCACCCATCGTTGGCTCCTCCAGCTGGCAGCATCCACAGAGCAGCAGCAGGCAGATTTCAGCCCAGTAAAACAGGGCAAAAAGTATCGTGGGACAGAGCAATTGCCCGGGAAAGCTTCCTCCCTTTCCCCACATCCCTCAAAGGGCGGCTGGTGCACCCAAAGGGACGGTTGCAAATTTTGCGCCTTTTTTCAAAATACTCCTCGGAGGGTTATCAGCAGAGCTGTGGTGGAGGGGAGTGGCAAGCCAGCCTAGTCAATCATTAATTGCAGCAAACTGACAGTGGATTATCAGCATGAACTTTGTGCCCCACCAACTGCACTCGTTACCACAGCTGGAAATAAACAGCTGCCCCCTCTCCCCTCCCAACAACAAATCTTGGTGTTGCCCCTTGTCAGCCCCATGCTGCTGAGCTCCGCTACGAGTGCCATCAGAAGGACTTGCACCTCGCAAGGTGGAAGTGTGAGATCTTCCCGGTAAGCATGGGTGATGGCTGGTGGAGAGGGAAGAAACGAGGGGCCACAGCCCCCGGCAGCCCCCGCTGCCTTTTTCTTTGGCAGGGAAGGGAGGTGCTGCATGTGGATCACCATCTCCGCGGCTTGCTGATCCCAGGCTGCTCGGGGAGGTTGCTTTCCTCCCCCGGACCTGGCACAGAGGATTCACAAACAAGAACAGAAGATGTTTCCCCACCGAGAGGGCAGTGTGGAGACACCTGCAGACACCACTGTTCTGCCCCAACCCTCAAGCAACCCAAACCCACAAATTGGATTACAAAAGGAGTCTCTACAGAGAGCGGGTTTGGCCGAAGTCTCCCCACCCTAAATACATTTGCATCTCATCGGATTCCAGAAAGGGGAAGTCAGGGGTGCGACAGTGCTCCTGGGCTCAGGGCTGAGGTCTTATGCCCAAGGGTTTCGCTGTAAAACCACACAGCACAGCTCCTGGCCACATGGTAATCCAGTGGTGAGATTAAGCACCATGTGA